TGGCGAGTCCTGGCGGCGCGGAGGAGGAAACGAAAAGCCAGAGAAGGCAAGTAACTCGCCCAAGGTCACACGGGGCTGGGGCTGCGTTCCAGGAATCGGCGGTCAGACCCCAAGGCTGCTTTTCCCCTTGCACCACTCGGCCCCGGTTTCAAGAAGGCCCGAAGTGGCTAAAAACAAAAATGATATCACTGTGGTGTTCGTTTGAGCTCCTCTGTCCTGTTTCAACCTAATGTAAAGTTACCAAAAGTTGGGCTTTGTTTGGCTTTTGTGATTTTTTTTAATTTTTATTTTTTGAAGAGGTTTTTGCTATAGGGTGCTTGCGCTCGCCAGAAAGACAGAGAGACAGAAAGCGAGAAATTACCACGGGGGATGGCCACACCGCAATCCCTTCTTCTCCATTCTCCTCTCGGGATCTAGGGATGTGCACCTGGCGTGAGTTTAAGCACCGGGTCTCAGACTCGAACCACCATCGATTCCATGGGAGTTCGGCGACATAGCCACTATGCTAACTGCTGGTCCCACTTTTATGACTTTTAAACACCTTGAAACCCTGCCGAGTTTGAAACCCCATGAAGAAATGTTTGGCTATCAAGTTAAATAAGGCAATCAATGTAAGGTGATTGTTGTTCACTAAAATATTCCTGCCCAGGCACTGAAATCCAAACTGAAGGAGTTGTTCCTAAGAAGGGGGCTTTGGTGGTAAATGAGCATTACCATGTAAAACGACTTCACATTAAAAAAAAAAAAAGTCTCTTAGGGATAGAATTTGTGCTGTGTGCAGCATGAATATGGCTCTTTGTTTTCCAGGACTTGAAAACGGTACCAGAAATATGCCAAGGGTGTTTCTTTCCGCCTGCCATTTGTCTTTTAGGAATGAAAACGCTGTGACTGAGATTTTCAGGATCCTCCAGAGGCCCACTGCACAGGGAAAGTGCTGGGTGGGCATGCATCTCTGAATGGGCCCCATGCACTTCAGACCCTTGGCGGACACTGCTGGCATTTAAAGGGGCTGCAGTGCTCTGCCGAAAGCAGAAAGATAAAGGACTACATAACCACTTGTAGAATAATTTTTTTAAAGAAAGTTTGATTTCAAAACCACAAAAACTCCTCAACTGTACAGATTTTAAAACCATCATAAAATTCTGCTAAACAGGCTCCTGGGAGTGCAGTCTGGGGGGGAGAATGATCCCTCCAATTAGCTTGTCCTTTGGGAAACTCAAGTAGGTAGTTTTATATTCCAAACCAAAGTAAAATCCCAACTTTCCGTTAAGACCTAGGCCCAGGTCCATCTCAGCTTTCCTGGGGCTGTAGTCTGGGAAAGCGGACCGGAAGTGGAGTGATGGCAGATGTAGGTAGGGCAGGCTGACAGCTCGGGAAGGTTCTGGGTTAGCGTCCTGAGGCCTCCCTGAGTACCCCTGTGTACATACGTGTACTGAGGCTGAGGGTAGATTGGGCATCAAGCCCCTGTTGGGTCTCTTTCTCTCTTTCTCTCTCTGTGTCTCATAAAACAAAGGGAAAAAGTTTTTAGAGGTTTTTGCCTTAGGGCACGTGCCCTGCCAGAGAAACAGAGATAGACAGAAAGTGCGAAATCACCCCCCAGTGGGGATGGCCATGCTGCAATCCCTTCTCCTCCATTCTCCTCCAGGATCTTGGACATGCACACGCCCAGCGTGATTTTGAAGCCACTGGGTCCAGGACTTGAACCAGGGTTGGCCATGTAGGAGTCCAGCAATATAACTACTATGCCATCTGCTGATCCCTAAACAAAGACATTGTATGTGTGTTTTTCTAATAAAATAAGATGTCATCGCTTCATACAGTGTCAGGCTGTGTGGAGAATGTGCCTCCGTCAGACTACCCTGCGCACAGAGGTGAAGTTGCACTCCACGCGGCACACAGCCCACGGCAGAAGACAGACAAGCAAACAGGTGATGACCAGGGTTCAGAGTGCCCTAGGAGACTGAGGGGTAGGACACCATGACAACACAGACAGGAATTGTCAGCTCTGCCCTTGCATTATTAAGATTCCAAGCAAGTTAATCCAGAAATTCTAAAAAATGTAAAGAAGGTATTTTATGGCTTACAAAAACAAAATTGAAAACCTTTTTGGATATACATATGTAAAATATAGTTTAAATACACGTAGCATTTAAGAGGTATCCCTTAGGCCTCCTTTTGCTGTAGTGATTATAAATTACTATAATTCATGAGGGCAGGAACTTTATTAGGAACACTCATTTCACAAACACCTGAGTCTTCTAAATTTAGTTATTTGTAGGTCCAACAATCTTTTACTACTATTTGGCTCTATGGTATGCAAATAAATTATTTACACCTCTAGCTCTTCTCAGAGTTTCATTGAAATCTACTTTATAGATGTCGAGTCAGGTGCAGTGAGGCACACCTGTAATCTCAGATATACAGGAGACTGAGACAGAAGGAGTGCAAGTTCAAGGCCATCCTAAGCAACTTAGCAAGACCCTGTCTCTAAAAAAAAAGATGTTTCTGTAAAAACCATCATTAGCTTTTCTGTCCCATTGACGTGTCCATTAACACAAATTGAACATGTACATCTTGAGTATACTTACTCAGATAGGACATTTCCAAAGTTTTTGAGACCAGGACTGTCAAATAGAAAACATGGATTTCACATATTTCCAAGATCTATGATTTTAGAGCGTTCACTTCTTTGGGCTTAATTGTTCGTGACCTGTCCCAAATAAGTGGGGTTTCCCCACATCACTTGCTTGCAGTGCAACAAATAACCAACGGTGAGCTCCCCAACACGACCCCCATACTGTTCTGGAAGTCCATCTGTTTTGTGGCTGTTGCTCCTTTCTCCAGTATGAGAAGATTCACGCTGTCGTGCAGGAATTTCTTTTATAAGCACTTATACAATCAAGTGCCTGAAATCTCTGTTCTAAACATACCCTCATACCACACTGTGAGGTGGGCACTCTTATGCCCATTTCATGAAGCTGAAAATAATACTCAGTGAGGTCATGTGATCACGGAGCCAGCCATGGGGCAGCGGCAATACAAGTGACTCGGGTGGGGAGGCCCTGGGCTTGCATCCCGGGGCCTTGCTGCCCACTCTGGGTGTGTACACGCCTATGGTCTAGGCGGGCTAAGACTGGGGTGACTGGCTAAGGTTGTGAGGTGAGGCCGTTCAGGGTCTCTGTCTTCCTTTTG